AATTCTGAGTGTTTTATGTGCTGCAGAACAGGAACCTGCTGTAAAACAGCAATTATGCTGAGTCAGGCTTGGTTTTTAGTAATCTTTTCCTGTTTGAATAAATAAATCAAATCAAATCAATCTGCGGCTAAAAAACCCCAAATAACGATGTTCACTCGTATCTGTTGTTTCCAACAATCAGAGAGGAAGAGGCTGGGCATCGGCCAGTCGCAGGAGATGAACACGCTCTTCCGCTTCTGGTCGTTTTTCTTGCGGGATCATTTCAACAGAAAGATGTACGAAGAGTTCAGGCAGCTGGTGGTTGAGGACGGGAAAGAAGGTTACAGGTGAGAGAGTTGATTTAGTTTGTAGCTGAGTTCATCAAAACCTGTTTATAAAGTCTCAGTGTAGGTGAATCATTGCATCACCTGGTGTGTTCAGGTACGGTTTGGAGTGCTTGTTCAGGTACTACAGCTACGGTCTGGAGAAGAAGTTCAGGCCGGACATCTTTAAGGACTTCCAGGAGGAAACTATGAAAGACTACGAAGCTGGTGAGGAAATGTGAAACCATCCCTCCAACATGGTTAAACCAGTTGAATAAAGTTTAATGTTTGTTTTTCTTTTAATCTTGCATGAAAAAAAAGCTTCACCTCGTTTTTGTTTCATGATCTCAGGTCAGCTGTACGGACTGGAGAAGTTCTGGGCTTTCCTCAAATACTCCAAAGCCAAGACTCTGGAGATCGATCCGAAACTGCAGGAGTGCCTGAGCAAGTTTAAACGCCTGGAAGATTTCAGAATCGATGTAAGGAGCTCAAAAGTTTATTTTTAAAGATGCGTGTTCACAAAGTATGACATCAATCATACAACAGGAAATGGATGTATACTCTGTGGTCTTTACTTTTTGTCTGAAAGAACTTTAATGTGATGATTAATAACTTCTGTTTATCCACTGTTCCTCTGACTACTGGTGTGCCTCAGGGGTCTATCCTCGGACCTGTGCTGTTCTCACTAGCTGCGTTTCCAGTGACCGTGAAAATGCACAAATTAGAATTTCGAAAATAAATTTGCTCAATGGAAACACGTCAATTTCGGGGAAAAAATATGTTTTTTGACAAAATGTTTTTGCACTAGGATGAGGTGGTTTTTCGGCCGTATTGAAATTGGCGTTTTTTCCAAAACTGCAATGGAA